GTGATTCTCCGCTCAAGCTCGACTATTAAGGCTCGGGTTCGAGACCTTAACGAGCCGAGCTCGAGCTCATTTACGTTTGGCGAGCACGACTTGATAAAGCTGGAAATTATAATTTTATATAACTTTTGTATAGTTCGGCTCGTTAAGGTTCGAGATCGATTCGTTAAGACTCGAGCTGGAAACCTTAGTGAGTTCATTAAGGGCTCGAGCTCGGCTCGAATATTTTACAGCCCCAGTCTCGCCGGATCGTACACCCGACCTGATTCTAGGTAAGGGCCAACTTAGGTTCGGTGTTTTCGAGCCCGAAAACTTGTCGTGCTGGGCCTAGGCCCAGGTCCAGGCCCGGGATTTGGCCACTTCTACTCATACCTCCTCCAAAGAAAAATAAAAACATGCGAAATCTTGGAAAATGAGGAAAAGCTAGCCTACGCAGTCCAAACGAAGATTCATGGCCACTCAAAAACAACAACAACAAAAAAAAAGAAAGAAAAGCATCATCACCACATTCAAAATAAGCTCACAACATCTCCTCTATTCCTCATTGCCCAACTCCCTAAGGTTTCCCTCTCTTCCCCAAAAACCTCAAACTCTCACAGCTCCCATGGCGGATACCGTTTCCCACAAACCGGAGCCCCGAAAACACTCCCCAACCGACCCAGAAAACGACCCGTCTAGCAAGTTCTACCGCCATTTTCTGTTTAAATCTTCCCTCATAACAGTCTTAATCCTCCTTCTTTCTCTTTTCCCCTCGATTGCCCCTGAATTCATCAGCCGAACTCTGCACGCCGCCAGCTGGGAGCTTCTCCGACTCATCTTCATCGGCATAGCCGTTTCGTACGGACTTTTCAGCCGAAAAAATGAGCAAATGGAGAAGCCCGAAAGCCCGCGGGTCGTAACGTTAAATTCCCGGTACTTTAGAGTCGAGCCCGTGGTTATGGTGGCCAAACAACAAATAACCAACGAAAACAAGCCTCTGCTTTTGCCAGTCAGGAGCCTCAAACCGTGAGTGCCTGATTCAGGGGATTCCGGGCCTGGCCGAAAAACCGGCCCGTTTAATGCCGGAGATTCTAGAAAACCGAGGAATGTGGATGACATGGCGGTCCTCCGTTCGCCGATTCCTTGGATGTCGCGGTCGAGAAGGACGGAAACAAATGAGAATGAGGACATAAAAACGAACCCGGTCGATGGCTTGAAATTTAATAGTAGTTCGCCGAATCATAAGAAGTTAACTCAATCCAAGTCGAGCTCGTGTTTTGCGGCCAACGATGACGTGGCAAAATTTCTGGGTGTGATCGAAACTAGCGACGAAGATAATGTTGGTAATAATATTGACGTGGACAAGAAGGCGGACGAATTCATAGCTAAGTTCCGAGAGCAGATAAGGCTGCAGAGAATCGAGTCGATTAGAAGGTCATCCGCACAATTTGGCGGGAAGGCTTTCGATTAGGTGAAGATGGTTTTCTCTTAGCATTGGATCAGATGTTTCACTATACTTTTTTCTAGTTGAAGTTAAAACTATGCTAACACAGTTTGATTTATTCTGGTTTTTTTTTAAATCTCCTTAGGTGAGTTTCTTATTTTGAATAATTGCCAACATTATGAATTCCAGCTCCTCTATTATTGTGTTGCATATGTTCACATTAATTGCAGTCATGTATTTTCACATGTTTTGTGGACACCATAGTTGTCCTGAGTCCCATCTGGTCCAAACATTAAAATGACATCTGACCTTTCTTCTCAGATATAATTAGAGTCGACTCCTAATCATTCGGAGATAATGTGTGATCCAACGGTTAAAAACTCGGTACGGGATATGTATGTAATTTCACTAATTTTCACTAAATGTCCAATAAAGCCAACTAAAGTACATAGTACAACAAGTGATCCACAAATCAATAACTTAACACAAAATTACATAACAATAGAAGCAACCTCATACTAACTATGACAAACTAAACTGATCAGTACATACAAAACAAGAAAAAAGAAAAAAAGAAAAAAAGATTCAAAAGAATGAAAAAGGAAACAAAACATAAACCCAATCAATTAACATTGCTAACAAAACAACACAATTCTCTACAATCTTTTCAAATGGCAAATGCATACTTACTTACACATTACACCAACTAAATCAAGCCAAAAAAATCAAGAACCCGAGCGGAGACCGTCGAAGGCACGTCCCCACGGACGTGCGGCCCCACGATCGCACGACGGGCACACGGTTAAGGTAGTGGGCGGCATTTGCATGTAGAGCTGTGGAGAAAGCTTGATTGCCCTCAGCTGCTGAACTTCCTTTTGCAGCCTCCGATTCTCTTCGGTTAGGGTTTCGCAGCATCTTTTGAGGTACTCACAGTCGACCTCCGTCTGCTTCAGCTTCGTCCGGGCCCTCCGGTTCTGAAACCACACCTCCACCTGGCGGGGCCTGAGTCCGAGCCTCTTTGCCAGGCTCGTCTTCTGCTTCTGAAAATCGGTTTCGTCCAAAAAAACTCTACTCAGTCAAATCACAAAACAAATCCAAAACAAATAAAGTCCCTTCGTTTTACAGTCAAGCAACAAATGCAAAGATGAAAGTATGAATAGTCATTTTAACCTGTAAAATGACACAATTACCATTTACGACCAAAAAACATTTTTTGAGAATCCGGGATCTCATAAATGGTTTATAGGGGGCAATCGTGTCATTTCACACGGTAAAATGATTGTTATTTCATACTTCCTCAAAAGCTACATGACCATTATCACCACAAACAAAATATGTATGTTTATTGGAGTACTATATGATTGTTGCTTACAGGGTTGAGGGTATTGTGGTCTTTGAAGGTTTCTTCAAGGACCGCGGCCTGATCTTTGGACAACCTCAGCTTCTTGTTACTGTTGTTTCGAAAACTATTGTCGTTGTCGGCTTCTTCGTCTTCGTCGCTGGTGCCACGCGAGCAAGCCCTATCAGCGTCCACCTGGCATCCATAGTTGTCCTCGTCACTGATGCTCCTCTTCCCGCCGCTCGAGCTCGAGATCGTGCTGTTTGGGGAGCACGCACCCCCACCCTCCGCCTCCTTATCATGTGTACACTCGACATCTACATTTACAAGCACCAACAAAAAACCCGATCAATTTGACTTGTTAAAACATGATTTAAATCGAACGGTTAAAAAAAACTCGATAACTGCACTGCAGTTTGTGTGTATTTAGAGACAAACAAACCTGGAGAAGAAGAAGGGAGAGCTTGTGGCCAGGCAGCCGATTTGGTGATGAAGGAGAAAGGCATTATCAATGGAGGAGATGAAGTGCTAAACTGGTTATAATCGAGGTGATGATTGTTCGAAACTTCAACAGTTTTATCTTCATGAGGGAAGCTCAAGCTCAAAGTCAAGCTCAAACCAAGGTCTTCTTTCTCCACCACCATCTTTTTTTTTGTTGAAAAAAAAAAGAGAGTAGAAAAGGATAAAAGAGGCTCTGCTTTGAAGAATGTGGAGTGGCCAAACAATGTAAGGGGTGTTAATTTATATAGAGAAAAATGGTGGGCAGTGTGTGTGTATGTGTGTGTGTGTGTGTGTGTGTGTGTGATTTTTGGGGGAAAAAAGGAGTTTAATTTTGGTGTGTTTGTGCGCGCGTGTGGGTTTTTTGGAGGATGAGATAATGATGAGGATGTGGCCAGGTGGGGGGACTGTACACCCACATTTGCTTATCTCATCAATCATAGGTGTTTTATTTATTTATTTATTTATTTATTATTATTATTATTATTTAATAAACTTTAAACTATGTCAATTGTCATTATTGATCTTGGTAAAGTGAGAATATTATAAAAAAGGAAAAAAATGGAAAGGAAATGAAAGTTACCACTCACTAGCCAAAATGATGTCTCACACTGATAGACATGGCCACGAGTCGGCCAGACCCGTGGACCGGTTCATAACCCTTTAAGGGCCGATAACGGGTCATGCTGTGCCCATTTTTTTAAAAAATTAATGAAAGTTTGGATTATAGAGTAATCATATTGTGTGTGTGGGGGGGCATTCAAATGCTGAGATACACGGCACAAATCTTTGAAAATCTTCTATCCAATGGCTCACATACTTCTAACACAAGAAATTGACATTTCATATCCAAGATTTTGAGCTGACGTTTATGATTGGAACAGACAAATTAAACTCTTCCAAAATGCAAACCACTAGAATTATTAGTGGAGCCAGCAAACTATATTTGTACTCGTCGAAAATACAACTAAATAGGTTGGCCTGTGCCACCTTTAACAAATTAATTTAAGTGGTAAATTTTGAATTATTGAAACTTTAAAGTTGTTTTCGTTATCCACCACAAGAAAAAATGAGATGGGGGTAGGGTAGGGATTAAAAACAAAAAAATAGGAGCAAGGCTAGTTTTTGTAGTGTATATAACTCTATATAGTCTTTTTATAAATTTAAGTCAGACTTGACTCGTTGAGTCTCGAGTTTGGCTCCACCCGTTAAGATTCGAGTTCGGCTCGAGCTCGAGATCTTAACAAGTTGAGTTCCAGCTCATTTAAGGCCCGTTTGGTTTACGAGTCGAGCTCGACTTGATGAGCTCGAGTCCAGTAACTTAGGTTGTTTCCCATTTTAGTCCACTAACTTAGGACGATCCAAATTTGGTCCAAAAACTCCCAAAAGTTAGTTAAATCAGTCCAATTGAACTAAAATTGGACTGAAATTGACCAATCAATTGGACTGAAATTAGACTGATTTAACTAACTTTTGAGAGTTTATGGACCAAATTTGGATCGGCCTAAGTTAGTGGACTAAAATGGGAAACAGCCTAAGTTTTTGGACTAACTTTTGAGAGTTTTTTGGACCAAATTTGGATCGGCCTAAGTTAGTGGACTAAAATGGGAAACAACCTAAGTTACTGGACTAAAATTGTAATTTTCTCCGAAAAATTTTAGAAAAATGAATTCATTTGAGCTATTTAGAAAAATAATTTTACTTTTTAAATAAAATTATAAACATATTTTTAATAAAAATTATATTTTTTAGAAAATTAAGAATATATAAAATTAGTACATGTAGAAAAAAGTATTATATATATTTGTAAAACTACCTTCATAATAAGATTAATTCAAATAAGTTACATCTATGCAAAATTAATTTCTCTTAACTGAATTAATTTTCTTGCTAAAGTATTTTTCTAGAAATGTTTATGATAATTTGTAATATAAATTTCAAAATAATACTATCTCCTATACTTTTTAAATATTATTTTGACATTATCAACTATTAACAAAATAAATGTCGTTTTGGATATTTTGTGCATATTTTCCTATTATTGTTCTCATCTAACTAATAAATACACTACGTATTTTTATATTCACTTTTCATTTTTTCTCAAAACATTCATCTCTATCTTTATTAATGAGAGTTGTGGAGGGCTTTAGATTCTCTGCTTTTTTATCTGTGTTTAGGATTGTTGGCTTTGTGTTCTTGTAGTTTGTTTTTGTGTTGGTTTGTAGTTTGTGTTTTGATTACTCATTTTTTGGAGGAGCGTGTTTTTCCTCTGGGGAGTTTGTGTTATTCTCCTGTTAGAAGTTTGTGTATTCTCCTGTTGGAAGCTTTTATTTTTCTTATTCGTGTTGTAGTGTGCGTTGTGGTATTTAGGCTACTCATTCATTAGGTTGTCCTCCTATTCCGGCAGTGAGTCGATTATAATTATGTGTTCAGTAAATGAACTAATACAACTTATGTGTATTACACGGGTGTTTGCTAATTTCTTTCTTAAAATTTAAAATTAATGAGGAAAAATAGTTGAAAATTTAAATACCTTTTATAAATATATATATTATTATATATTTAGTACGACAATTTTTATTTGTACGACTTACATGTGTTATATTATAATAATTTTTTTAACTTACAATATATAACTACATTAAACATAAATATACCAACTGAGAAATAATTTTATTTTTCTAATAAATTTTAATGAATATTATTATTTTTATTATTATTATAAAGATAAATGTAATTTATTTATTTTATATATACAATATGGATGTCAAATCGAAGATCATGAAAAGATGATTAATTTGATATATTATATATGTAAAACCGATAAGAAATACAAAAG